AAAAAGGTAATTTAGAGAACTGCAAAGAAGGAAGCCTACATGTCATCAGCATTTTTACTGATAACTAGGAACTTCCAATATGTGAACTCTTAATAAAGAGGATTAAATACGCGATTACTTTCATTCTAGTACAAATACAATTATTTCTAAGCCACTTGCTCCTCATAAGGTTAAAAAGATAGTCAACATTCTGCCCTCCAAACCTCTGCTAACCTCAGCTTACCACCAACATATATTTCTATCCCAATACTATTATAACATAATATAATATTCTATAGTTATTGATAGGCTGATGCTTTAGGTAGCTGCAGAAAAAAGTAGAACTGAAGACAAAACCTCTTTTCATGAGAAAGAGGTTTCAAAAAAATGAAACAACCAATGGTGGGGAAGTCTGCCACACATTAACAAAGAGAGTAGGTAGCCAGAATTTAAATACAATAAAAAAAGCTTAGCTTATTACATTACATTAAACTACACAGTCAAATTTCATAACTTCCCAATACGTTATGTAAAAACTAAGACTATGTACCTTGTGACACTATTGCTAATGTGTACCTGTATATGACTATTGCAGTGACAGCTGCAGACCAACTTGCCCAGAAACCTTTATAAAATACAGAGAATACATTAATTATCATATACAGTTTCTTAAAGGAAAACGCACTAGCTTCCTAGTAGAAAGGGAACAAAATTGATAGTTAATGTCAGCAACAATCTAGAAAGCCTTGTTTTGTCAGTCATTCCTAAGGCAAGGAAGATGAGACAGCGCTCTCCTTTTCAAGACTAATGAATCAACTAATAAATCATTTTGCAAAGCTAGCCATAAACTATATTAAAGCCCCCCAAGACTATCTTGTAAGCAAGAATCAAGTGACAGCCCTCACTCCTGATTTGGGGCTGCAGGAAAAGACAATCATCCAAAGCATCAATGCATCATAGTCTGAGCAATAACTTTCGAATTATTACCTTATAACTCTACTCCATGAAGAAGCAAACCCCTAAAATAATAGAAAAGGCTTCCTGTAACACCTATAACTCGCTTAGTCAAAATTAAGTCAACTATCTGCCAAGAACAGATCATTCAGAATGTGACTTAAGGCTGAAACTTTATTCACGTGATACCTCAAAAGGCAGTGGATCCAATCTGGCAGCCCAGGCCACTGAAGGGGATAGCTTTGTTCCTTTCCCTCCCTCAGCCATTTCTTTGCTCTCACTGTGACTACTAACATCTGACCTCAAGACGAGACACTTCAACTCATCAAATCAAGAGAAAATCTGCCCAGAAAGACAGCAAGTATTTCACTGCTGGTTTAGCAAGCTGAACTAGCTCAACCAGAGGCTGAGCACTGCCAAAGACAGCAAGGAGACAGGAGCACACTGACAAGAGGATACTATACTGCTAGACCATAATTTTCAGCTGTCACTAGATCAGTTGAGTTCATGAAAATTTTCCCCTTCTCATTAACAAGAGCTCACTGTACACATTTACCCTTAAAGCCAAAGTTAAGGAGGACTGAAAGGGAAAGCCCATTGACACTCAGTACAGTTGAGAATAATTATATACTTGCGTAAGTAAAGCAACCACATTTCATTCCACCACAGCTTAATTTCTCCTTACTGAACTACAGGTTCATTTTTATTTTTTTCATGCATCCAAATCAGAAAACAGCAGTTTTCTGGAAGCCTCATTACCTTATTAACACAAAGAGCCCTGCATAAATTTCATTATTTAAAAAACCATAATGTACTGGCATGTGCTTTCTACGGCAGGGAAAACATGGAAACATGTTAACATGTTTCAGGGTAATGGTAAAGTTTAGGAGTAACATAGAAACACGAAACAGTAAAAACTCAGCTTCTTTTTTAAAGAGGCAAAAAATAAAGTTGGAAGAAAATACTTCTTCACTTCAAAAAGTCTCTAAAGACAGCTTAAAATGCTGTCCCAATGTCTCTTTTGTCTCTCCACCAAACTACTATCATTGTCTATTCGTACTCACATCTCCTAGACACTAGACATAACTTTTCAACCAAGTTTCTTGGAAGAAGGATCAAGGTTAAAGAAACATCCCTTGTAACATTTTTAATTTATATAGGCTAAATATGCCAAATGGAACACATCCATTAGCAGTCTACTTAAAAAGATGACTTACAAACTAGATGTAGCAGATAAATCCTGAATACATTGTAAGGGAAACTAAAAGAAGAAAGGTTTGCATCCCTTTCAAGTGGGATCTTTGACTCAATATTACATTATTTATTCTTAAGTGTCACTCATGGCTTAAGTGTGACTCTTACTTGATGTGTACTGATCTGCAATGGATTACCGATGCAAGAATTATCTCAGTATCTAACAGACACAGTTATTTAAAATAAAGTCCTGATTGTTCTTTCACTCATTTTAGTAAAAATATAGCATTTTCTTAGCAAGAAAAGAGGTGGACTATAAAAAAATAAAAAAGATTAAAAAAAGACAAAATCATAGTTACCCGATATATACACAAAACAGCTTCACTAAATTCAACTCATACTCTAATATCCCTTAAAAAAAATTCCCCAATTACCTTAAGACTATAATTTCCATTTTGGCTAAGGGATACTTAGATAATTATGAACTAACAGTTAAAACTAAAGTTATTAGCATCTCTATATGCAGGGATCACCAATACAGAGGTCTTCAACAAATAAAGCTCCTCCCCACCTTCTACTCCCAAGAACAGGAGGGCATGCGGAGTTTGATAGTTTGTTTTGTTTAAGGCAGAATTATATACTGTCAATTTAGGTAACAAAGCACTCTCCCTTTTATAACAGCCACAAGATACAGCTTCTGATTCTGAAAAGCTCAAATAATCAGTTGAAAGACTGTGAGGCTGTTCTTATATCAATTTTGTACATAGACAAAACAGTGACTTCCAATTGAATAGTTTCAAAATAAATTCCAAAGAAGCAAGTATTACAAGCTTAAGACAGACCATCGTCCCCATTTTCCTTTAAAGCATTTTCCTTAAGTGTGTTTCAACCTATTTCTGCTCTTTCTCTAGGTTAACTTTACTAAAGTTAACATATTATACATACAGAATATACTGTATATTTTAAATTGTTAACACTGTAAAAGGTCATTGAAATTAATTCTGTTCTAAGAATGCATACGTTTTACACTACTCAGAGCAAAAAGCATTTAGCACTGTAACAGGTATGCCTCAAAGCTCACAAGTTAACAATCTGACGAACTAAAATCTTCTCAGTTGTTGTGTATCACACCAGCAGCTTTTAGCATCCAAACCCAAAATTAAAATACTCAGCTCAAAGTGATTTTTATAGTTTGAAAAAGTTATTCAGTTCCCTATTTACTATGAAGTTCCAGGCTTTAGATTTTTATTTTCAGAAGTGTGGCAAGAGATGACTAAGGCAACTTACAAGAATCACATGTACCATTACTAAACTACATAAAGGCCTGCTCTGTGATCTGAGAGAACTCTGTAGTTACTTTGTACAGAAAGAAACAAACATAAGATATCATAATCCAAACATGGTACTAATTTAGGATACAGATTTTCAGAAATATTGCACACACAATACCTTGTAAAGATAGCAACTGCTCACAAATAGCATTTGTTATTTGATACAAAATACTCATCACATGCTTAAGGATGCTATTGTCCAAGTATTATTTAAAACGTAACTAGATTATTAAAATTCATTAAAAGGTGAAACTAAATTCCATATGCACACTTTTCCATATAATTATACACGATATATCAGATCTGTCAAATCCCAGTCAACAGATAACCACATAGGCACATATTTATTCTCCAATTGGTGCTTACATTTTATACAGAGGAGGAGTGATATGGGCACTAGCTTAGGACATAACAGATTCAGGTATAATTCCTTGCTCATCTACAAACTTCCTGCACAGCCTTGCACACCTCACTAGTTCTCTGTGCCTTCTTCACACATGGTGGGCTAAGAGCAGTAAGATTTCAAGGTACTCACATTACGACAGCTGAGTCCTAAGTATGTAAGATAACGAACACCCACTTTTTGAAACATAAACCAGAAAGCTGACAATCATTGTATCTCTGTTTACATATATTAGGAGTGAAACATGTTCACTCAGCATGACAAATTCAGAATCCTTCTCTAAATCCCTTAAAATCAAGGACCTTAAGAAACAACAAGTAAAAAGGGTTTGTTCATAGATAAGGTGACCTGAGACATCAAATGCACACACTGTCCTGCATCAAAGCATGACAGGTAAAGAGTCTCTCTCAAGTGCATCAACCGTTCTTTCCTGTAAAAACAACTTTCTCTATGTTAATTATTTGACATTTAAAACTCAGCTCATTGGGCAGCTCCCATTTAGAAACAAACCTAAAATCAGTCCACACTTCAGAGTCACAATAAAGGCCTAAAATTACAGTGCACACTCAAGCCATTCAGTCAAAGCTGGAAAGATCCTGGAAACAGGGATCTGACACCACCACAATCACAACAAGCATTAGTGTCCAGCAGACTCAGACCTGAAGCAGCAGGTGAAGGAGGCCCAGGGTTGCCTTGCCAATGGAAAGCCAACCCTCATTCCTGCAAACCAAGGAGGGCTCAACAATCGCATCCCTCCCAAGGGCCCCGCACACACACCCTACTGTTGGTGACACCGTATTTGACGTAGCCCACTAGCAGTGAGCCAGCGCCGGTCCCCTCACACAGCCCTCCGGCCCAGGCCTACGCTCCCCCGCCCCTCACCGCTATCCCACAGGCCAGTTAATCGGGAGAGCGGCTGCCGCCCCAGCCACAACCGGGACACAACCGGGATACTGCCAGCCCCGAGGCGGCCGCGGGGAGGAGAAAGGGGGGGGCCGAAGGAGAAGGCGGCCCGGCGGGGCGGCCTCTGCCCCCCGCCCACGGCGCAGCCCCCCGCGGCGGGGCTCCCACACCCCACCGGCAGCCGGCGCCAAGCTCCTGCCACTCCCCCCCCCAACCCAGCGGCCGAGCCCCGGTACCTTGCGGACACCCTTGTAGATGTAGAAGTAGAGCTCCCGGCCCACATTGAAGCAGAGCCGGTCCCCGTTGCCGCTCTGGTCGTTGACGTTGACGAAGGAAACGCGGACCGGGTTAGAGCCCTGCGAGTTGAAGGGCACCCGGTTAGGCCGGCTGTACTCCGAGTGGCTCAGCAGCTTGTACAGCCCCTCCCGGGTGGTGAACTGGGTCTTAATCTCGTTCATCTCCTTCCCTCCTCCCTCCGCCGCCATCTTGGAAAGGAGCATTCATCCTGCCCCAGTGCCCGGATGTAGCGCCACTGCGCAGCCGCCGCCGCCGCCGGCGCTCGCGCGGCCCTGCGCGGAGGCGGCCACGCAAACGGCGTAAGGGGGAGGAGCGGCGGCGCCTGTTTACGGCGCCTCTGCGCATGCGCCCGGCCGCCTTGCCCTTGGGCGGGCCCTC